GGAGTGAAGTTCTGGAATGGCCTTCCAAGGGAAGTAGTGGGGGCAAAAGATCTATCTGGTTTCAAGATTAAACTAGATGGGTTTATGAAGGGGATGGTTTGATGAGATAACATGATCTTGGTAACTAATTGACCATTCATTATCAGTGGGAAATAGGTCAATGGAGGGATGATAGGAGTACTTTAGAGAACTTTCTGGGTTGGGTGTCTGGCTGGTGAGTCTTGCTCACATGCTCAGGGTTTAGCTGATCGCCATATTTGGGGTCGGGAAGGAATTTTCCTCCAGGGTAGATTGGCAGAGGCTCTGGAGGTTTTTCGCCTTCCTCTGTAGCATGGGGTACAGATCACAGCTGGAGGATTCTCTGCATCTTGGAGGTCTTCAAACTATTTGAAGGCTTCAATATCTGAGATATAGGTGAGAGGATTATTCTAGGAGGGGTGGATGAGATTATGTGGCCTGCATTGTGAAGGGGGTCAGACTAGATGATCATAATGGTCCCTTCTGACCTTAAAGTCTATGAGTCACTAATAAAACAAACATATGAGACTTATTAGAGAATCCCTGACAAAGATAAATTTATAAACAGAAATATGTATATAGAACCAATTGTCAGTATCTGAACAAGGAACATCATTATATATTTACAAAAGCTAGAACAGAAGTACCACTATACGCTGAAAGTCCAGAAGCGTATATGAGAAACATATAGGTCTAAGCACAGTTTTTGTACTGCTTTAACTATACTGGTTTCTAAACCATTATAGTTAAAACAAAGTCTGTTAATCTTAACAGAATGCTCATGAGGCACTTTTTGAATATGTAAAGCAAGGCTAAGGGTTAATATTTCTGATTACTGTGAAGTAGCATCACATTGTCAAACACCACACTGAAATAGGAATGTGGATGGATATGTTTAATAGTGTTGAACAACAGAAATTGTGACTCATTCACACAATAGGGATGTTAAATATCAATTAATTAACAAATCAATTAGTCAATGGGATTTCCATCAACTATGCGATTAGTTGATAAGGACTAGCACATGTTCTGCCTTTGAAATGCCTCTGCCTCTGTGCATTTCAAAGACTGAAATGCCACATGGAGCCAGGAGCAAGCAGGGAGTCCCCTGCTGGACACCCAGATCCATGCGGGCACTTCCAGCGGGGGCTCTTGTATATTTTGAAGATTGAAACGCTGTGTGTGGAGCCTGGGGCCAGCAGGGAGTCCCCTACTAACCCCAGGCTCCATGCAGTGCTTCCGCTTTGAAATGTACAAGAGCTCCTGCTGGGGGTCTTGAATATTTCAAAGCGGAAGCACCACCACTATGCCCCTGCCCAGTCCCACAGAGCTGGAGTTGGGAGGAACCGGCTTTTAAGCCGGCTCCCCCCAGCCACCCTCCTCTTCCCACCCTTGCTGCCTCTTTGTGATAGAGGCAGCAAGGGGAGGGGTAGAGCGACTAGTCGATTAACGTGTCAACTATCCGATAAGCTTTTGTTTATCTTAGTCAACTAGTCACTTACATCCCTATCGCATAGCAACAAAATACACACTGTAAGAAGCTTCATCCAAGAACAGTGTTTCTTAAACTGTGTTCATGTGCCGCGTAGAATAACAGAGTTCTAAATGGCTGCCCTTAAAGGGGCAGGCAACCTTTTTTTTTTGGCTCAATAACTTCCCTCTGCCTCCCCCCTCCCCTTTTTTGGCTCAATAAAAAAATCTTTGGTGTTCCTCATTAAAAAAAAATATTGTTTGGTGTTCCTCAGTCTTACAAAGTTTAAGGAACACTGTCCTAGAGTATATCCTTGAAGGGGAGAAGGGGATTATGAATACAAGTATCTTCAGTCTTACAAAGTTTAAGGAACACTGTCCTAGAGTATATCCTTGAAGGGGAGAAGAGGATTATGAATACAAGTATCTTCTGCCTGCCATATAAAAGCTATAGAAAAATATATTTGGGGAGAAGAGATGTGAAAGTGATTAAGCCTGGGCTCATCGGCTAATGTTACATGGCATGGTTACATGCAGGCCCCCTTCACTCACGCTGCTACTTCTATATCAGAAGCGGGAAGGGCAGGTGGGAGCCAGCTTTTAAATCAGCTCCTGCAGAGCTGTCTGCCTTCTCCCCATGATGGTCCTGGAGCAAAGCATTTTCCTATTGTTGGCAAGAATCTTATTACTTTTTTCCTTAATCTAGGTACTGATCCTGGACTGTGCTTTGCAAATCTCCATCTTTCATAAATCTCCGACTATTAAGTATTTTATACTTTTGAGGAGCCCCGTAAGCCTCTTACTACTGCAAAACCTTGTTTTCATTAGAGAAAAAGTGTGTTATTACCTTGTGTTAGACACCACAACATACAATTATAGTGGGAAAAAAGGAGCCTTAATGTTAATATTAGCATATAGTGGAAAACAGTAATCTTCCCACCAATATTAACAAAGACAACTACAACTGCTTTTCTTCACTATAATTTTATGTTAGGTTCTTACTTTCTGTTAGTTAACATATGGTCTCTCCTTTAAGGCAGTTCCTGCAGCATCTACCTTTTATTGCTGATTTCAGCAGCAGTATGAAATTGACATAGCTGTCAGTTTCATTCTGCCACTGCATGGCAAAGCTATGATACATAAAGTCTGTGGACAGACAAAACAATGTCAGAAAGTTACCCTCACAGTGACATGATCTAAAATTCAAAGTAGAATAAAAATGCACAATTCTGCAGACCCTGACAGCTCCATCCCAGCAAAGAAATGCAACATTTGGAAGTAAATAGAGGCCTAGCTCAGCACGTCACTGGGACCCACTTACCGTCCAAGCAAACTTACGAATATCAACTTATTCCCACCACAAAGCCGTGATGGATCCAGTCTACGGACAGGGAAGCCAGAGCACGCACCGACTGAGTCACCTTTCCAAAGAACCAGCAGATGCAGACTAGGGAGTCGGGGCCTCCCTCCCCTGGGGCAGAGTGGGTGGCGGGGGAGGCTGCGATCTAACAAGCCAGGGGAGCTGCGTGTTTGGTGCCCCCGACACGTTCAATACTAAGGGGAGGGTCCGGGATCCGATACCGCAGCAGCGACTGGGCGTGAGGCGCTGGACGGCGGGGCAAGGCCGCGCACCGTGCTGGGGAAGGGGCTCTGCTATTAGGGGATGTCGCCAGGCGCAAGGCCCCTGGGAGAGCCCGGCTGCTGCCGGACCCCGCTCAGGCGTTTTCCTGCCCCGTCCAAGAGGCGGCGTCTCTCGCCCGTGGCAGCTGGTGCAGAGACTCGCCAGGCACCGCCCGACCCCGCCCGGGGAAAGGATCCTCTCGGCCCCACTATTGGCCCCACTTACCGGAGAACCCCCCGGCCGGGGCAACGGAGCGGGTGGCGGGGACGCACTGGCCCCGCACGCACTGGCAGAGGCACAACGTGCTCCCGCTGCCACCCGGCCAAAATGGCCGCCACCCACCTAGAGAGCGGCTGGAGCCACTAACCATCGAGACGTAAAAGGGAGGCGAAGAGCCGCTCACCATAGAGAGCGGGCGGAGGACGCAGCGCGAGTGCGACGCCTCCGGCAAGGGTGGGGCCAAGAAAGCTTCGGGGACGCTTCTGTTGCGTGACGTCATCGCTCGGTGACGGCGAGAGGGGGCGGAGAGGCGAACGCGCTGCAGAGTGGGCGGGGCGCCTGCGAGGCCCGTGTTCCCCCCTCCCCTCGAGGAGGCTCCGCGCGGACCGTTTCCTACACTCCCCCCCCCCTTCCATGTGAGTCGCCCCCACCCCGCAGCGGGGCGAACGCGGCGCGGCGCGGGGCAGCCGCCTGGCTGGAAGGTGAATTTATGGCGTCTGGTTTCGCGCCCCTCAGGGGGCCGCAGTGGTGCTGAGGCCTGGCAGCGCCGCAGCCGCCACCCGCGCTTCCGCCTGGTCAGTAGCCGGGCTCGGCCGGCGCCAGTGTCAGGCTTGGCGGGACCCCGGGGCCAGGGCTGAGAGCGAAGCCCCTTTCAGGGCTTCTTCGGGCTGCAGGGCGGCTCTTGCGAGCGGCGCCTCTCGGGCTGCCAGATGCTGCGCCGCGGCCGCAGTGGGGCCAGCCGCTCTCAGTCCTCTCCCAAGCCAGAGTATGTGACTCGGGTGACACCACTGCCTGTGGAGGGGCTGACTTTGGATGCAGTTCGTTGGGCGAGCTGGCTAACTCCCCCGAGTCTCTCTTGTACGTCGGTGCTGGTTTTTACATTCCCAAGATGTGTCTTGAGTATTGATTTGAAGTCTCTTTGCTTGTAGGAGAGCAAGATGGTCAGGCTCTCAGGAAGCCCCCGACCTGATATGGCTTGAAGGTCGACTAAATTATTTAACTTTAAATCCTGTCATCATTAATGTGATGGGGGGCCTAGGGACCTGCCCATAACTATATATATTTTTAGTAAAATAAATAGTGTCTTGTAAAAGAGGCCAGACCTAAATTAGAGATAATGAGCCAGAGTGGTTTCTCAGAACAGGCGTTGATGCTAGTTTAAGTGTTTGAAAGACTGTTAATGGGATGAAACAAAATACAGGACTATGTAGCACTTTAAAGACTAACAAGACGGTTTATTAGACGATGAGCTTTCGTGGGCCAGACCCACTTCCCCAGACCAAATAGTGGAAGAAAATAGTCACAACCATTGGTATTTTCTTCCACTATTTGATCTGAGGAAGTGGGTCTGGCCCACGAAAACTCATCACCTAATAAACCATCTTGTTAGTCTTTAAAGTGCTACATAGTCCTGTATTTTGTTTCAGTTACACCAGACTAACACAGCTACATTTCTATCACTGTTAATGGGATGTTTGCTGTGCCTGTGCTGCCCCCATAGTTGAAACTGCAATGACCAACAGCATGCCACATTAGTTCCATGTGTGGATGTTGCAGGCATGAAGCTTTCTAGTTACAGTAATATGAACTAGGAGCCTAGATTATTCCTTAATTAAACAAATAAATTGGGAGCCTTTCAGTTCACTTCCGTGTAAGGGAGTTACAGTGCAGCACTTTTCATATCCTGGAGCCCGTGTAAGTGATCCCTTTGTATCTTCAGTGGTCTATTTCTTGGGCCCGATCACACTTCTTTTACTGATTTAACACTTTTGGTCAGGAGTCTGTTTATTTGATTTTAGTTAAAAGAGTTATTGGTACACCCCCCAAGTCTGCATACAATTATACCAGGATAGGTTATTCCTCTGTGTTTAAGGGGAAAAAACCATAGTGGTGTAAGGACTGTATACTGATATAAGTGTGTCAAAACTAGATGGATGAGTCACTCTAACTGTATAGGTTTCAAACTAAAATAGTTGAAGTATTATAAAAGCGGTGCCTAACAAACCCTTGGAGAAAGCAATGAGCCCAAAACTGTGGCTTGAGACGTGGTTACCACCAGAGAAAATTATTTGGAAAACAGTAGTATCCTTATATCTGGTTGGGGCTTGACAGTGAGGATTAAGGGAAATGCATCTGTCTGTAGACAGTACTATATATGATGCTGATAGGCAGACTGAGATGGTCAAAGGGAAAGTAAACTATTCTCTTTCCTTTTTTCTTTTTATGGTCTTGTGGCTAAACTATGCAAAACATTCTCAATTTATCTTATAAAATGTAGAAATCTGGGTATGTTAAGTAAGCTATTTATTTTAATTCCCTTGTTTCTTAGAGACATCCCAAAGAGAGAAAATCCTTTTACTCTCTAGCGCTCTTAGAAGTTAGGAATTTTGGGAAAATACATGCCCTTCTTAGTCTTGGCCAAAGGTCCACCAAGGTGTTTTTCCTCCATTGTATTATGTTGCCATTAGGTTGTTGTGAAATAGGGATGTCAGAATGTGTGTGTAGAGAGCAGAGTGGCCACTTACTGACCCCGTGAAGGAATAACCCCTCTCCAAGCCCAGGTGGGCCGAGACAGGTCCTGCCCCTTTAATTCCATAGAAGCCAAGGGGTGGGGCAAGGAGCATAACAGCCCAGCACAGGAGTCCAGTCAGATGTCAGACGCCGGAGGAAGCAGAGGTCTGCCCTGAGCTCTGAGGATCTGGCAGAGGTTGTGGACTGTCCTAGACCTCCAGGTCCATGCTCCAAAGAGGGCACCTTCTTCACCCTACCCCAGAGAGCAGACCGCCAGGACCCTGAGAACCAGTAGCTGATCGAGAGCCAGGTAGATGCTGAGGGGGAGTTAGGAAGTGGCCCAGGGGAAGCCAATGATTGTCAGGCTAACCTAATAACATTTTAAAGTGTGTGGTGTGTTGCAAATCAGATCCCCGCTGACCTCAGTAGATCTCTGGGTCAGGATGTGGTGGACTAGAGAGGGCCTGCGTCCTCCCTGCCACCGCTCATACTAGGTGGCAGTCTCCCCCTCCCCACTTGTGCCTAGGGAACTGTGTTTGGTTGTCTGCCCCTCCCTGAGCCAGGGCTTGGGCTGCACTGACTCTGGCCTGTTTGTTTGACTGCCTTGCCCTGAACCAGGGCTTGGGCTATATATTGACTCTGGAACTGCATTTGTTTGGCTGCCCTGCCCTACCCTGAACCACGGCTGGGGCTCTACTGATGATGAACGTGCATTTTCATTGCTGCCTGCTCCGCCCTCAGGCCCTGTGGTCCAAAAAGGGCCGCTGGACCGTTGTCTATAGGCCTAAGCACAGGTCAGGGGCCCAGGACAAAGTCAGCCATCTTACATGTGGTGGAGAATGTGGGCAAGACTCAGTCCCTGAAGTGAGGGGTGTAAGGATTACTGGGGCACGCCCCCCAAAAATATTAAAAAAGTTGATAGGGAAGAGGGAAATCTAGGGATGGATCTTGATAAATTCTTCAAATTCTTGGGTGAGAGCCAACAGCAGCAGCATCAACAGATGCTGCAGCAAATGTGGGTACATCACCACCACCAGCAGCAGCTGATGCAATAAATGGGGGAGCACCAGCAAAAACTCCGGAAGCAGCTAGCGAAGCAGCAACAGGAGATGCAGCAACAGTGTTTTCAGCAGCTGGCCAATATGTGGCCCAAACCTGGGGGTCCCATCCCACTCCCGGCCAAGGACTTCTCAGTGTCTCCTGCACCTGTGCAACTTAACAAAATGTGAGCGGACGATGACCCCAAAGCCTTCCTAGAGCCATTTGAGTGGGTGGCCATAGCAGCAGGGTAGCCTCGAGATCAGTGAGCTACCCTGTTGGCCCCATACTTGACGGGAACTGCCCAGATGGCTTATTAGGGGCTCCCAATTGAAGGCTCCAAGGACTGCCCTCAGGTAAAAGTGTTGTTTTAGATGCTGTAGATATCAGGCCAGAAACTTTCTGGATACTTCTCCAGACTGTCAGATACATGTCAGGGGCTCAATCTTGGGAAGTGGCCCAGGAAATTAGGGATCTCTGTGAGTGATGGTTGTGCCCAGAACAGCACTTGGCCAAGGAGATTGTGCAGCAAACTGCTCTTGAGCCGTTTACCCAAGTACTGACACCCCATACCCGCGCATCGGAGCTCCACCACCACCCAACTACACTGAGTGAGGCCGTCACCTTGATGGAGGACTTCCTGGCTGCCGAGAACCTTGTCAGGCTAACAGCTCAGGTCCCAACAGAGGGCTACTGCAATAGGCTCCAGTGTCCTGTAATCTGAAAGGTGGGTCCGTGTTGCGGCATGGCCAGGGGCCCATGAAACTCTGGTGGCTCCTTGCCCAGTGAGCATAGTTCCCCACTAGACAAACCTACCCGATTGACTCGCCCAGATCTTGGGCCATGCTTTGCCTGCAGTCGCATGGACCATTTACAGCAGGATTGTTCGGAAATGGACTGTAGCTTTGGCCGGGTATGCATGGCTGAGGCCCGGCCCTGCTGACTGGCGCCACCTAAGATGACAACCATTGTGGGGTTGGGATTATGGGAAGTTATTCCCCTTCTTGACTTGGGCTGCGGACAGACCTTAGTGAAAAGGGGAGTTATCCCTGACCCCATAGAGATGGTTGGAGAGCTCAAACTCCAGTGTATCCATGGTGATATAAAGACTTCCCCCAGCACTAGGGTAGCCTTAACGATAAATGGGATCACTGAGAAGATGGTAGTGGGGGTGGCCCCCACCTTGGCTTACCCCATTATTCTAGGCCGGGACTGGCCCCGGTTCAATGAACTTCTCCTAGAGGCCGGCCTCCGAGGTTTGGCCCCCTTGACTTCCCTGGAAGGGGAGCCCGCTGGGAGGGACCAAGCCAGCCCCCAGGTAGAGGAACCCCCCAGGGAAGCCAAAGGAGGGCCCTCCATGATAGATGGCCCGGAAAGCCTGGAGGGATTTTGTATACCCCTGGGGAGGAACCTGGAACAGCTAGCCTGGCAGACATCCTCCAAGACCAGCGGGATGACCCAACTCTGCAGTTCGCCTATGACCAGGTAACCCGTATTAACAGAGTAGTGACGAGTCCCCAAAAACCTGAGCTATGGCCCCACTTTGAGCTGGTAGCAGACCATCTGTACTCAGTGTCCCAAGATCCACAGATCCAGGAGAACCAATTCCAGTTACTGGTTCCTTGTTGCCACTGGAGGGCCATCTTAAAGCTAGCCCATGACATCCCTGTGGCTGGTTACCTGGGGCAAGACAAAACCTTGGCTCAAATTCTTTCTTGGTTTTATTGGCCCCGGATCTACCAAGAGATGAGGGACTACTGCTGCTCCTGCCCCGAGTGCCAATTGACTGCGAATGCCAGCGTCCACAAAGCCCCACTGGTTCCCCTCCCAGTGGTTGGGACTCTCTTTGAATGCATAGCCCTCAACCTAATAGGGCTGCTGCCCAGGAGTAAAGCAGGATATCACTACCTTCTTGTCCTGGTGGACTATGTGACCCACTTTCCCAAGGCCATCCCACTGCGAAACACCAGAGCCTGGCCTGTTGCCTCTGAGCTGGTAAAGATCTTCGCCAAGTGGGACTTCCCTGGGAGTTGCTGACTGACCAAGGACTAATTTTATTTCTTGACTCCTCCGCCAGGTGTGTACCTTATTGGAGATGCAAAAGCTTCAGACATCGCCTGGTGGACTATGTGACCCACTTTCCCAAGGCCATCCCACTGCGAAACACCAGAGCCTGGCCTGTTGCCTCTGAGCTGGTAAAGATCTTCGCCAAGTGGGACTTCCCTGGGAGTTGCTGACTGACCAAGGACTAATTTTATTTCTTGACTCCTCCGCCAGGTGTGTACCTTATTGGAGATGCAAAAGCTTCA